TTCTCTCCTCAGCATTCAGCTTTGTTTTCCTGCTCTTATATCTCCAGTGCCTATTTTGGCTTCTGATGCTCAAGGAGTTCTATCTATGTACTCTTAATCTTCCCTTGTAGTCCTACAGTTCTCTCATTTTCTTTTCCAACAGTTCAACAAGTTTGTACTTATTACATGTGCAGTATATGCCATGTTGTTATCAGGCATGAAGATGAACATTGCACACACCTTGCAGGTCACCACCACTGAAGTGTCTCTTCCTTCCATAATCCCAGTTACCTTTTTACTTTCTTCTGCTTGTCTATGAGTCTTTGTCTTCTCTGCCTTGAAGGATGCTGGGAAGGTCCACTAATCTCTCTCTCTCTCTGCCTTTTTCTCCTTTATCTCCTTTTTCCTTTCATCTCTTCATTCACTAGACCCTTTCCTTACTATTGTTCCTCCACCAAACTCCTGGTCGCTCACCCCTTGGAGTCTGTCCCAGTTTAATTCCTCTGCTGTGATCTGTTAGGTGTCAACAAACAGAGAGCCAGTTACCAAAGGTTACAATTATCATCAGTGCAAGTTTAATTACATTTATTCAAACGACAGCTTGATTCAATTAAATAGTACTTTCTTCAAGATAAATGAAAATAGTCTTTATCTTCCAAGAGAAACATGTACTTAGATGCATCCTTAAGACTTCCTACACCTGGTTTTATCATCATTTGTGTTATGTGTGTCAAGTCACAACCAGCTTATGGGTTTTTTGAAGATAAGTGAGATATTTAAGGACTGGCTTTACCAGTTCCATCACTCCCCCATGATTTTTCTTAGCTGAGAATGGATTTGAACCCAGATTTTCTGAACTGTAGTCCATTACTTTATTCTCTAGACCAGGGGTCATCAACCCTCAGTCCGCAGCCCAGTGCCGGTCTGTGGGCTTGGTGAAACTGTGCCGCGGATACGGATCTCCACCCATCCTGCACAAACGCACAGGGGGCGTGTCACGCTCACTTGTGGGCATGTCGTGTGAGCGTGACACGCCCACTGAGCTTGCATGGGGGTGCCCCTTCCCCCGCGCATGGAGCTCAATCCCACCAACTGGTCCATGGTCCAAAAAGGTTGGGGACCGCTGCTCTACAGCACAGTAGGTATCTGGGTATCCCCCTATTCTGTTTATCTCTTCCAATTTGCCTAAATCCATTTTCATGCTGTTAGTAAATGTCAGTGTTTCCCAATCTGGGAGTTGTGATGTCCAAGGAGGTAACAAAGTGGGTTTTTTTGGGGGGGGGTCACAGGTTGTTGTTGTTTAGTCATTAAGTCGTGTCCAACTTTTCGTGACCCCATGGACCAGAGCATGCCAGGCCCTCCTGTCTTCCACTGCCTCCCGGAGTTGGGTCAAATTCATGTTGGTTGCTTCGATGACACTGTCCAACCATCTCATCCTCTGTTGTCCCCTTCTCCTCTTGCCTTCACACTTTCCCAGCATCAGGGTCTTTTCCAGGGAGTCTTCTCTTCTCATGAGATGGCCAAAGTATTGGAGCCTCACCTTCAGGATCTATCCTGCTAGTGAGCACTCAGGGTTGATTTCCTTCAGAACGGATAGGTTTGATCATCTTGCAGTCCAGGGGACTCTCAAGAGTCCTCCAGAACCACAATTCAAAAGCATAAATTCTTCAGCAGTCAGCCTTCTTTATGGTCCAGCTCTCAGTTCCATACATCGCTACTAGAAAAACCATAGCTTTGACTATGTGGACCTTTGTCGGCAAGGTAATGTCTTTGCTTTTTAAGATGTTGTCTAGGTTTGTCATCGCTGTAGCCCTTGCCAAATTATTTATTGACCTTTCAGAGCAGGATATTAGTGCATGTGTATGTATGAGAAACAGGCCCTTTGGAGGAGAAAGTAGTGTCTACTTTCAGGACTGATTAGGCATCCTTCAGTCTCAAGAGACTATAGTAACGTGCTCTGAATGGAGGACTTGGAACAGCATCTAGTGTCGCTGAGAAGGCCAATTCGAGAGTGATAATCCCTTCCACAATGAAGACAAATACAATCTCTCCCCTGTACAGCTCCCTGATTTTGCTGGTTTCGGGACTGCCTCTTGTCTCAGCCTGCTGGACAAGAGTCTCTCCAAAATGCGAGAGGCCATGATGCACCTTGGCCTGCCTCCAAGCTGATTGCTTAGATGTCAGGGTTTCCCATCTGTTGAGGTCCATTCCTAAGGCCTTCAGATCCTGCTTGCAGATATCCTTGTATTGCAGCTGTGGTCTCCCTCTGGAGTGATTTCCCTGCACTAATTCTTCATACAGGAGATCTTTTGGAATCCTACAATCAGCCATTCTCATGACATGCCTGAGCCAACGTAGACGTCACTGTTTCAGTAATGTATACATGCTAAAAATTCCAGCTCTTTCTACGACTATATTTGGAACTTTGTACTGCCAGGTGATACCAAAAATGTGTCGGAGACAATGCATATGGAACATGTTCAGCTTCCTCGCCTGCTGTGCACAAAGAGTCCAGGACTCACTGCAGTACAGTAGTGTGCTCAGGACAAAGGCTCTATAGACCTGAATCTTGGTACATGCTGTCAGCTTCTTATTAAGCCATACTCTCTTTGTGAGTCTAGAGAACACGGTAGCTGCTTTGCCAATGTGTTTATCCAGCTCGACATCTAGGGAGAGAGTGTCAGAGATCATTGAGCCAAGGTATTCAACCTCCAATTCTTATGTGGAGATGGTAATAGAGGGAGGTGAGTCCTCACCCTGGCCCATGACTTGTGTTTTCTTCAGGCTGATTGTTAATCCAAAGTCTTGGCAGGCCCTGCTAAAACGATTCATGAGTTGTTGGAGGTCTTCAGGAGAATGGGCAACAACAGCTGCATCATTGGCAAAGAAGAAGTCGTGCATGCACTTCAGCTGGACTTTGGTCTCCGCTCTCAGGATTCTTACTTGGAAAAAAAGGCAGAATCAAGATATAATTGCTGCCCCTTCCACAAGAAAGGGTTTTTTAACTATGATGTGCCACTTCCAGACTTCCAAAAGATGGGAGAGGAAAAAGTGGGGGGGGGAGTACACACACAAAAACCCAGAAGGGAGGCACAAAAACAAGGGGCCTACCTTGTCTGCAGCTGGTGTGAGGAAAGCTTTGTGCTTGTTTCTGAGGGGGATCCTCTCTGTGTGAATGTTTTACCCCCTCTCTGGGTACCACAATGTCCTTCTGACCCTGGGCCATCTTTGAAATCCTTTGCCTTCCCTTCTCCCTACCTTTAACCTTCTCCAGCCTGTTCCCTTCCCAGTTTTGATGGCTGCAGATTCGGCAGCAGGAGTGGTAGGAGAGCAAACATAAGCATTATGGCGCCACCAAACCAGGGAATGATGATTTATGCAAATATGGTGGTAGGGGAGTCACAGGTTACATGGCTATTATAAAAGGGGTCACAACTCAAAAAGGATGGGAACCACTAGTAAAATAATAGAAAAGGAAAAACCTGAGATCTGACCGAGAACTTCCAGAAATACAAGCTGGGTTTCAAAGGGGCAGAGGAACCAGAGACCAAATTGCTAACATGCGCTGGATTGTGGAGAAAAACATCTACTTCTCCTTCATTGACTATGCAAAAGCCTTTGACTTTTTGGACCACAGCAAACTATGGCAAGTCCTTAAAGAAATGGGAGTGCCTGACCACCTTATCTATCTCCTGAGAAACCTATACGTGGGACAGGAAGCAACAGTTAGAACTGGATATGGAACAACTGATTGGTTCAAAATTGGGAAAGGAGTATGACGAGGCTGGATATTTGGATATTGTCCCCTGGCTTATTTAACTTATATGCAGAATACATCATGCAAAAGGCCAGACTGGAAGAATCCCAAGCCGGAATTAAGATTGCCAGAAGAAATATCAACAACCTCTGATATGTAGATGATACCACTCTGTGGTAGAAAGTGAGGAGGAATTAAACTCTTACTGAGGGTGAATGAGGAGAGTGTAAAAAATGGTCTGAAGCTCAAAAAAAAAAAAAAAAAAAAAACTAAGATCATGGCCACTAGTCCCATCACCTCCTGGCAAATAAAAGGGGAAGATATGGAGGCAGTGACAGATTTTACTTTCTTGGGCTCCATGATCACTGCAGATGGTAACAGCAGCCATGAAATTAAAAGACACTTCTTGGGAGGAAAGCGATGACAAACCTCAACAGCATCTTAAAAGGCAGAAACCTCACCTTGCCAATAAAAGTTCGCATAGTCAAAGCTATGGTTTTTCCTGTAGTGATGTATAGAAGTGAGACCTGGACCATAAAGCAGGCTGACCATTGAAGAATTGATACTTTTGAAATTGTAGTGCTGGAGGAGACTCTTGAGAGTCCCCTGGACTGCAAGGAGATCATACCTATCTGTTCTGAAGGAAATCAAGCCTGAGTCCTCACTGGAAGGACAGATCCTGAAGCTGAGACTCCAATACTTTGGCCCTCTCATGAGAAGAGAAGACTCCCTGGAAAAGACCCTGATGTTAGGAATGTGTGAAGGAAAGAGGAGAAGGGGACGACAGAGGATGAGATGGTTGGACAGTGTCATTGAAGCTACCAACATGAATTTGACCCAACTCCAAGAGGCAGTGGAAGACAGGAGGGCCTGGTGTGCTCTGGTCCATGGGGTCTCGAAGAGTTTGACACAACTAAACGACTAAATAACAACATGTCCCAAAAGGCTTAAGCCAAATAAAACTTAAAGGCACCATAGGACTTGGTTGCTTAAACTTTTTCCTCCTGCAATGGACTAACATGGTTAAGCTCCTTGGAAATCTTGGGAGATAACTTTAATTTGACCCAGTTTCCAAAGAAGTAACTGTGGTTGTCTCAGAATGTTGTCAAAGAAAGAAAAAGGAAAAGGAAAAATGCTTGGCACTTTAAAGACTAACTGATTAATTTTCTTGCGAGTTCCTGGACGCACTTCTTCAGCAAACAACCCCCGCCCGCCCGCTTCATTTCTATATTTGTTAATTAGCACAGCAAGTTTACAAAATGTATGCAGAGGGAATTCTGCTCGCCAGTGGATTAGTTCGCTATTCTTGCACACAACTAACACTTTTACACAGCTGAACCCGGCTTCAGTGTTGGGTTTGTAAAAAACGAGCGTGGCTTTCAGGGCGGAGGATTGAGTTCTTGTGCCTGTTATTTGGAAATTAAAGCCAGCGAGAGTAAAGCTGTTGGATTTCTGATGGCAGCGGAGTGGAAAGAGTGAAGTTCGACGACGACACCAACGAGAAAAAGACAGTTATAATACGTTCACACGCTGTTTTGCAAGCCACAGTGCGCCTTGTGGTAAAGAGGTTCACGGTGCCTTCAATGAATAATCTCTAAATTTTGCTGTATAAGGGAAGCTGTAGTTTGCTTTATACAGTAATCGCGACCAAGGAGGCTGGCGAAAAAGATCCGGCCTGTGGGCGGAACGATTCCAATGTGTTCATAACAGTTGGGGTTACCATAGAGATTAGTTGGGCGTCGGGTTACGAAAGCGACAGTACTTCCTCTTTCTTTATTAACTGAGTTACTGAGTGAGAAGGCTTGTGGGCAGTAGTCTTTTCTGTATCTGCTTGTGTGGTACTATCTTTTGTTTACTGTCTTGCAGCAGAAGAATGGGATTTTAGAAACAGAGAAAGGAAGAGCCTTGGGAGTTGTGGTAGCAAAAAACACACACATTGAAAATGGAATTGGGACCTACAGATGTAATGGAGCGCAAAGGAGCGCTGACTTTGCGCTCCAATTCTGCATATTATGGAAGACCCACTCTTGTGTACCGCTGGTAAGATGTGGGGGGATGAATTATTGACTGACCTGGGTAACATTTTTGTGGTCTTTGCTGACAAGTGTTTAGTACTCACAACTCCACCAGATTCTAAATCTTCTTCTCTAACAAGGGGCATACAATCTCCGGCTGCGGTTTGCTTTTCTGTAGTTGTGAGGCTACAGAATATCTTGCTTATGTCCCATGTTGTTTTACCATTCTATTGGTGTTAATATAATACTCGGAATTATTGCTCCATATCTTGCCTATTATTGATTTAAAATGTCTTCTTTCAGATATATTTAAAACCAGGGGTCCCCAACAATTTCACAGGAGTGAGCACGCTGAAAATACTTAAAAGAGTGTTGAAGTTGGTTTCAAAAATAATGGGGAGGGAGGGAGTTTTCTCTTTAAACAAAATAGCTGCCATAGTAGGGGGTGTTAGCGGTGCTGTTCAAAAAACAGTTGCTCTTGCTTCACTGAAGACAAACTGTTGAGGCTAGAAGAAAAACAACCTATCCAGCTATAAAGCAGAGGACACCCCAAACATCTAAAGTAATTGCCTAAAGACCAAATTTTAAAAAAAGGAAATTGATACAAGGCAAACTAGTGACAATCAGAGGCAAGACCCACCTACACAAAATCTAGGCATAATGTATGCCATGCTCATACATAGATGTGCACATGCCAAAATACATACAAACCCAGCAAAAAATAAGCATCAAAACAAATAAGCAAGCTAATAACAAACTGTCCCCTCCAAAAAGCACAGTCCACTTCTTATTCCTTACAAAAATGCTCTAACCCCAGAAAAAGACATCTTCCCTGAGTTATCTTCTGAACAGCTGAATATTCTTATAGTCTAAAGGCCCAAGGACCATTATTAGAAAGAAACTCAAGGGTTTTTCATGAAACAGACAAGCCTTTGAATTATCAGAAGCATGTGGGAGCCTGACAAAGGCCATGGGAAGTATTCTGTAACTGTGTTGGTTTGAGAGCCCAACTGTAGAGTATTTCGGTGAGGTGGCATGATCTGTTGTAAAACTGGTGGAGGGTTAGCACTTCAGATGTTAACTAGCAGAAGCCAAAAGTAGCCTCCTGAAACTTGATCATGTATGCTTCATGTACATTTTGTGCATAACTATCATCATAATAAGAAACTTAGAACTGCAGAGCTGGAAAGGGAACCGATGGATCATCAAATCCAGCCTCTGCGAAGGAGGCACAGTGGGGAATCAAAGTCCCAACCTTGCAGCCAGTGTCCTCATCCACTCGAGCTATCATGTACAGTTCCTTCAAAAGTACCCATGTTACTTACCAGCCAGTGCCTTTTTACTAATTATTATTTAAAGGTACTACAACAGAGAGGCTGAACCTAAAGATTATGACATACATGAAATTCCTCTGGGATTTAAAAACCTCTGTCGTTCTACCTACTGGCGACTTGGAACCATGGATCAGGTGAGAAAATGACTTTTCTGTCTTTGCTGTGTGGAGTAACATCAAATATAAGCACATGCTCAATTCTGAATTTCAAATATATTATTGACTTTTGTTGACTTTTAAAAATATTAGTGTATACATTCTAAAGATTAACTAGATACTCTGCAAGATGTTAGAAAACCCACAATTCCGTGCAACAGTTTTAACAGTGCAGATTATTTGTGACGTTTTCAGAATGTAAGTACCATCAAAATGGCATATAATTGCTTAATTCATATCTTCTAAGAACTGGGTCTGAGATCCACTGGATTAGCAAAATTTGCTGTTAACAAATGGACCCTCGATTTACGGATGGCTCCACTTGCGCACTTTTCGAGTTACGAACTTCTCCGGCCGCAAAATTTCACTTTGACTTGCGACCGGAGAATTGACCTACAGACTAGAAGGGGGAGGTGGGGAAAGTACCAAATTCAAATTTGGCGCTTTCCCCGCCTCCCCCTTCCGGTCCGTAGGCCGCCGTGTGCCTCCGGATGCTTTCCAGGGCTTCTCCGACGCCATGGGAGTCATCTAGGTGGTTCCCCCCTGCCGATCGTGCTTCAGAGGTCCCCCGCCACCACCGCTGGCTGAGCGCGGCTCGGCTCCCAGCAGCAGTGGCGGTGGAAGTCCAGGAGTCCGAGCTGGGAGCCGAGCATGGCTGGGATCGCTTGGCTCCCAGTGGCGGCGGTGGGGGACCTCCAGAGGCCTTCTAGGGTTTAGCTGCCATGGGAGACTTCTCAGAGGTCCCACCGCCGCCGCCGATCGTGCTTCGGAGGCACGATGGGCAGCGGGGGGACCTCCGAGATGCCTCCCATGACAGTGGAGAAGCCCTGGAAGGCCTCTAGAGGTCCGCCGTCTCCGCCGTTGGGAGCCGAGCCGCACCGGGAGATCCCGGCTATGCTCGGACTCCTGGACTTCCCCCGCTGCTGCTGCTGGGAGCCAAGCCACGCTAGGCGATCCCGGCCGTGCTCGGACTCCTGGACTTCCCCTGCCGCTTCCAAGTGCGGCACAGCATGGCTCCCAGCAGCGGAGTATCTTTACTCCCAGTATCTTTACATCAGTAAAGATGTAGAGGAGAAATACTATAATAATTGGCAGTTTGAATTTTCCAGGATGATCATTTGGACAGAAAATTCTCAGTGTACTTCAAGGGGCGATCCCTGCCGTGCTTGGACTCCTGGACTTCCCCTGCCGCTTCCAAGTGCGGCACAGCATGGCTCCCAGCAGCGGAGTATCTTTACTCCCAGTATCTTTACATCAGTAAAGATGTAGAGGAGAAATACTATAATAATTGGCAGTTTGAATTTTCCAGGATGATCATTTGGACAGAAAATTCTCAGTGTACTTCAAGGTTTACTAGAAATGTTATTACATGTTTGTGTGCAGCATTTAGCTTTGGTTGCTATTTTTAACCACTGAAGGAAAACTTGGAGGATTAGCATAAGAAGATAGGTCTTTGTGTTTAATTTGATCTGTTAGTTCTAAACCAAGTGTTCAAAGTCTGGGAAGTTTCTCTCCTTATTATTGCATCAGGTAGTCATTTATGTACATGAATCAGTCAGCTAAATACACATGGAATTATGTGCAGAGTAAAAATTTATAATTTTACTTCCCCTGCCCCTTAGCAGAGGAGCAGGGGAAGTGTTCAGTTTGCTCATTTTTAAGCCACTTCATAATACTAGAAATTGAAATTAGAAGGTCTTAGCAGCTTTGACAGTTGTATGGTTTGATTTTAGTCTGTTCCCAGTGATTGCATGCTCTGCGCATACCAAGCTGCACCCAAAAAGAAGAAGCCCTGACAGGCTCTGAAAGGTGGGGGTTGGGATGCTCTGGGGAGAAATTGATTCCCTCTAGCAATTATGTCATGTGGTCACCAGAAAAAAAGAGCAAACCAGTCCACCTCCTGCAGCACATCAAATGCCCATCTAAACAAGCTCTGTGTTAAATATTCTTTATAGCATTGGTTCCCAACCATGGGTAATCCAGGTGTTCTTCTGCAACTCGAAGAAACCCTGGCCAGCACAGCTGGTAGTGAAAGCTTCTGGGAAATGCAGTCCAAAAACACGTGGGTTGCCCATGATTAGAAAGAACTAGTCTATAGAGTTGGTATTATCAGCTGGCTTTGTGACCGCTTTGCAATACCTAAACATAAGAAAACCTTATGATAAAAAACACAATGTTAATTTTATTTATTTATTTAATTTATACCCGCCCATCTGGTCTTGCGACCACTTTAGGCGGCTTCCAGATATGTTTGTTATGATAAAACTCTGTTATTTATCATTTAAAAAGCTGACTTTTTATCATGCTTCATTCATACCAAATAAACTGAAAACAATTAAGCATCTTGGAACAGTAATGGAGTGTGATGCACCAAGCTTTATTGTTCTCTAATCAGAACTTTCCCAAAAGGTAGAAGCAATGTTTTAGCATTTCCATAAGCAAGTTCTCACTGGGTGATGGTGGTATACAGTATTATTATATCTCTAGCCAGCAAATTTCATCTTCAGCAGTGTTGTTAGTGATGAAACTGTGTCAAGGTATGTGAGAGGAAACTTCGGTGCTACCTTGTCATCTCTGAGGCTATGGAGACACTTAAAGGAAGAGGGGAACTAAGCACGTATCTCAAAAACAGTCTGTCTGTAAGCTTGCCCTGGGAAGTTGGGGGGAGAGTTGTGGTAGAGGGGTGAAAATGCTTGAGCAATGAAAGCTGTGGAGGTTATAATGGAATAGGCATGAAGTACTTAGACAGCTCCTGCCTCAACTCTGTTTAATTGAGCAGAGAAGAACATGATCTGATTCCAGAAAACATTTTTGCTTATGAAAAGTAACAGGCCTTTAACTAGTTTTGAAAGAACCTTTACAAAAGCACAAATCTATATTGCATAAAGTAACTCAGGAGGCTCTCTGAGGTAGGTATCGGTGGCTTGGCTCTGGCCTGGTTCCGTTCCTTCTTGGAGGCCCGCCCCCAGAGAGTGCAGCTTGGGGAGAGTATTTTGGCCCCGTGGAGTCTCAGATGTGGGGTTCCACAGGGGTTGACTATTTCTCCAATGCTGTTTAATATCTATATGAGGCCGCTGGGTGGGGTCATCAGGGGGTGTGGAGCATTGTCTCATCAATATGCTGATGACACCCAGCTCTACAACTCCTTTTCACCAACTGCAGGTGATGCCGTCCTGTCCCTTCAGCGCTGCCTGGGGACCATACTGCAATGGATGCGGGAAAATGGGCTAAGGCTGAACCCGGACAAGACAGAAGTTCTGAGGGTGGGTGGCCCTGTGGTCGGCGGCTTGGGTGACTCTCTCACATTTGGGGGGGTGATCCTGGCCGCGAAGAGTGGGGTCCACAGCCTAGGGCTACACCTGGACCTGACGCTCACCATGGAAACGCAGGTGGCGTTGGTAGTCTGCACCACCTTTTTCCACTTTTCGCAGATTGCCCGGCTGCGACCTTACCTAGACACGGGGGCGCTCACTACCTTAGTACATGCGCTCGTAATCTCTAGATTAGACTACTGTAACACACCCTACGTGGGGCTCCCTTTGAAGCTGATGCGGAAACTTCAGGTGGTGCAGAATGCGGTGGCCAGACTCCTTACTGGAGTGAGAAAATACCAACATATCTCTCCTACTCTGTCCATGGTGCACTGGCTGCCCATCCATTTCTGCATTGACTTCAAAGCGTTAATGCTTACATATAAGGCCCTAAACAGTTTAGGACCCCGATACTTGGCGGAATGCCTGCTCCCACACAGTTCTACTCGGATCACCCGCACGAGCCAGGAGGTGAGGCTGAGGAGCCTAACGCCGAGGGAGACCCGGAAGCAAAGGACACAAAACCGGGGCTTCTCAGCGGTGGCTCCTCGCCTCTGGAATAACCTTCCTCTGGTTATTCGTGCGGCCCCTACACTGGGCACTTTTAAGAGTCAACTAAAAACATGGTTGTATGTTCAGGCCTTCCCTCCTGTCTATATTTAATTCTTTCTTTATTTTTTCTTTCATTTATTATTTGTTTTATTATTGTATGTGTTATGGACTGTTTGTAAAATTCTTATGTTTTCGTATACACCTTATTGGAAGCTGCCCAGAGTGGTCGACCAGACCAGATGGGTGGGATATAAATCAAATAAATAAATAAAATAAATAAGTTGACAACTGGTCTTATTCTAAAAACATTTCCCTTCCCCCACCTTATATTTACTTGTAGAAATGGCTGACCACGTATCAAGACTATTCATCTCAACCCTATAGAATTAAAGAATACAAGGAGCTGGAAATGCATACGTCTGTGTTGGATAAGGATAATTTTGAACTAGCTGTTCTTGACAGGTATCCCTAGATTCAATATTCTAGTTCAATATTCAACATTAAACTAATGCTATATAATAGGATATGTGATACATAGACTGAACTCTTGTTGTGCAAGCCAGATGATACCACTGTCTATTGATTAATTAAATGTTTAGTTAAATTAAATTTAGAATTTCCTAACCCACTCCAACTTCAGATTCCAAGGCTCTCTGTGGATCCCTTTCACCATAGGGAGGCTTTTGGGAGCCTTGTAACGAGGAAGGGGGGAGACCTTTAATATTGGGGAAGTCTTTAATACTGGAAAATTGCTGGCGATATCCCAATGTGAGATTAGAACCACCACAAGTGATCTTCTGATATTAAAGGTTCCGCACATCCCAAGGCTCCCGAAGGCTTCCCAGGGCTAAAGGAGATCCATAGGAAGCTTTGAACATGAGGTGTCTGTGATAGACTGTTTCGGTATTGATTAAATTAAAGATATCCTTTGCCGGATGATGATGTCACCTGATTTATACAGTGTAAATTTACATTAACAGGATTTCAGCCTATGAGTGACTCACTCCTATACAGTGTTTTTTGTTGCTCATTATTTATTCTCAAAAGTAATGAATTCCATTTATATTGAGTTCCAAGCATGTATGCACATGTTCCAGGATATCTGGAAGTTCTGCAAAGAACCAGTTTGACTGGCATTTCCCATTATACAGTATTTAGAATTTAATGAGCAATTTTGTTAGGTAATGAACTTAAAATTAATACTTGTTTGAGTCAGTCTGTCGCATTTCATCCAGTAGAGAGCAGTGGTGACCATTTACAGATATGCACTATGACAATCCCAGAAGCAGCGTCAGCTGTGTCAGAAGCAGCTTTGTGTTGCATGAAGATATGAAGCATGAAAACCTGATAAAGACAAAAGAGAAAGCTTCCCTTTTGCCTACAAGACACAAATAATATGTATGCTTTATGTATGCTTTTCTTGAGAGAACATTCCAGTGAACTCAGTCAGGCATACTCATGAGGAGGCTGTGCTGAACTGTACTAAAATCAGGCTTAGATTTTATACATTTGATTTTCCTTGTAACCTGAAAACTCTTCTTTTTCTTACCAGGGAAACAGGACTACCTGAAACAGGTGTGGGAGCTGTGTTGCCACATCACTCTCCTGATCACTTTAAAATGTTAGTGTTTGCAAAATTATGCTAACCGATCTAGCAATCCTGTTCAGGATCTACAGTTTATCAAACTGCAAAGTTTGAAAAGATCTTCAAGGTTTTCCCTGTAAACAAAACTCACAACAGGTGTCACTGCCCTACCCAACACAAAAACGTCATTCTTGTCCATCATTGTTCTCAAGCTTCAGTTGCAATGTAGTTAATTGTTTTAGTGATTGTATTTTGCACTAGAATACTAATACCGTAATTTAACATGTATTTTCAATAATGACAGTGTAAGGAAAATATCGTCATGTTGTCATTTGAAATACTGTATATAGTATTATTTTCTTTGTCTTATATCTAATAATTATGCATGATACCATGAAATTTCTAAGAAACTAGGAGACCCTTTCTATTAATGTTGTGTTCTGGTAAAATACTGCATTCTGGGACATAAGGGAAAGCAGCTAAGTTTTTATAATACTCTAATCTCACCCAATAAAATAGTTCCCTGACAATTGACTTTAGTAGCGACAGTGGAATAACTGCCCCAAAGTAAGAAAAAAATGGCCATTGTATTTTGTCATCCTTTTTTCCATTTTCATTTACTGTAATTCATGCATGTTAAATGTGCTGGCCTCATTGCAATGTTTTGAAGGTTGTTTCCTTTTCTTATGAGAGATTGTAGTTAGGGAATTTGACACAGAAAAAGCAAGGAACATTTGTTTATTGGTAGGAAAGGTTTAAGGACTAGAAGGATCAAGGCCAAGGAAGATTCTCTTGGAGTTAGAGAGGATGCCTAGAAGCTGAGTCCAAGAGAAAAAGAATTTAACATATTCACTCGGTCTGAGTGACAGTCCTAAACAAGAACCTCTTATGGCATGCTGAGTGGTGTTGCATTCCTCCACAAATGAGCCTGTATATCCTATGGAAGAAGTAGCAATATATAATCTATGGTTTGATTGTAGTAAGAAGTGGATGGTTGAAACAGAATTGCAAAAGGGGAATCATGTTGCATTCTAATCATATGCACACCAGCAGTAGAGATTATAACACACAGGCGACAAGAAGTGAAAAATTTACATTTTACTCATTATAAAGAAGTACAGTATACCTGAGCATGGGGAAATTATGACTGCAGCACCTTCTAGGTGCAGCATTGGTTCCATCATGTTTTGTCTCTTATTTTGTTGCATGATGAATGCAGATCATAAGGTTTACCAGGACTTACATTCTCTTAACTCTTTATTACTACAGTGCTTTCCAATACCTCTTTCTGTCTTCTCTGGGAAAGATAAAGGTTTGCTTTACTGGGGTGATGATGTTGATAATATATTTTCATTACAACAGGAGAAAAATGTGTGTGGGGGGGTGTCTGGCAGTTTTATACACTCGTTTCTTCACAGCAGCTGGCAAGCTGACATAAAACCAAATTCCACTACTCCCTGCTATATCATGGAACAAGAAAAGAATAAACCAAGGGTTTTGGGAAGAAGAAATAGATGTGGGAATTTTGATGGGGGAAACATAAGAATATAATTTGGGATGCTAAGGAAAATTCAGATAAGATGAGTGAAAAATCTGCAAGAACGATGGCGAAACAAATACTGTATCCAGAAGTGCTCTGAATTATGATCCATTCTCTTTTCTGTCAAGACCATCAATTATCATCCATCTTGCTAACTAATATAGTGATCAGGTTTCACTGTTGCAATGAAACGTATGAATGGTATTCCAAAAACAAAGTGATTATTCTGCTTTAGTATGATCCACTTATATTTTCAGTTGTAGGTAATTTACAACAAAAATAAGCTCTCTTTATTTGCTCTTTGGCCATGAATCTAATAAGATATTTAGCTATAATGAAGATGATTAGCATCTACTGTCTTGCATTCTGCAGAATATTTGGTACCAAATATAAGAACACTAAAGTTACAGATTGAACCTTTCGAGTTTCACATCCTTGTATTTATGTATGAATGACAGCCCATGTATCAGGAGGGAAAGCTAATATTTATTTGGTTATACCTCTAACTCCATTAAAGTGGAAACAAGCCTTATTGTTACTATTAAGAGTAATATATCCCTGAGATGGCCAGCATTTATGGGGTGGGGGGGCATTTTTAACTAAATTGTTCTGAGGCCAGAGGTCCTATGGTGATGTCATCATAGCCTCAACTTGGCAACTTGAGTGGGGTAGTTCTGCCCACCATGCTCTGAAGAACTTGGTGCCAGTGAGGATTGTCAAGTAGTCATGCTTCACTTCTTGACCACCTGGTAGATGAATGATTACCATGTTACTTCATTGGCAAGATTTTACCTGGATTTAAAACATGTCACCTGGTAGCTGTTTGTCCATAGTGGCTGTGAATGCTAAGCTTTCAGCCTTTATAGAACTAGATATATCAGGCAAAATAGGCACTCACTGTTTGGGCCAAATGTTGAGCAAAACAAATCTTTCAGAGTGATTAGCCAATGAATAAAGCTATCCATTGGTTTGACAGTATTCATAGCAGTTGTATAAATGAAAAATGTTACAGTGATGGGAATGCTTGGTCCCTAGCAGTCTGCAAATAGCTGAAATCTGCAGAGCTGCCTCTACAATGCAATTAAACTTTAGGATTAAGAAAAATATAATCTACAAAAGTAACTATTCCAAACTCTGCTGTTATACTACCTGATGCATTTACTGCTTTGACAGTAAATTGACTCAGTGATCACTAGGGTGCCTTCCAGCTCTATAGTTCTATGAGTTTATGATTTTGTTGCTTTCCAGAAAAATCAAGTTCCATTTTATCTTCAGTGGACTTTTGTGAATTTAACTACGTGCAGCCTGGAGAAAGGGAAGAGCTGGCATAAACAAGAGAGGGGAAAGATAACTATATATTGTTACAGGCTTCTGCTTATTGTTGATGATGATGATGATCTTATGACTGCTGTGAACATTAAATGTCTGAAGAGAGATTTCCAACAACGAAGTTATCCTATCATTTTTAAATAATTCTACATATATTTGGACTTACTCTATGTGTAGCCTACTAAATTGAATTGGTCTTAAGCCTCAGTAAATGAGTATATCTGTTCTTATTAGGAAGCAGATGTTGGCAAAGTTACTTTCTTGAACTACAACTGCCCAAATCTCCCATCCAACATGGTCAGTAACTATTTTTATGGTGGGGTCGGTCTCAAAACTGGTTTTTTAAGCTCTGCTATGAATGAGTTTCTATTACACTATGGCCTACCACAATGAAACGAAACAGCAGCTAATGGGGGGCAGGGGTTTAAGAAAGAGGTGCCACATGGAATTTGGACTTGCTTTTATATGTGTGTGTGTATATATGCCTTTGTGTATGAAAAGTCAAGTACAGTATTGCAAAGAGGGTTTAGTGTAGATACTTTGTATACTAAAATAATATGTATTTCTGAAGGAAATAACACCTTGATTTCTGCAGTTTACCCTCACTTTATCCTGCATTTTTCCCTGTGACGTTATGTCACTCAAGGGATTCCTGTGGTATTCCTATGAATCTACCATATATGAGGATTTTTCCATTAATAAAAAACGATGGTAAAAAACAACTGTCCTATGAGAATATCACCAAAGCCAATGTGTGAAGCAAAATGTAATTATTATTTTTTCTTTGTATTCATCAGGAATGTCTCTGGCTGCTTTATATGATCTCCTCTCCCTATTTTATTCCAAAAACAATCCTGTAAGGAAGACTTTTACTGAAAAGTATTGTGTAGTCTGAGGATACCAAGTAAAATTTATGTCTAAGCAGGATTTTGAAGTTTTCCAAGCATGACATTCTTACTATTTCACTATACTAACTTCCTTGGATAAGTGATTACTATATAGATCAGTGATGGCGAACCTATGGCACGTGTGCCACAGCTGGCATGCAGAGCCCTTTCTGTGGGCACGCGAGCCATCAGTCACCGGATAGCTACTCCCGCCCCCACAGCCAAACCTCAGGAGGCGGCTGCAGCCACAGTGCTGGCATTTCCAGGTGGTGGACCAGGATCTGGAGTAGCTGGCGCTGACTGCGAATCTGGAGTGAGGTCTTGGGTCACCTCTGTGCCTGGGATTCCCCCTTTCACCACCACTTCCAGTTCCACCGCCGCAGTCTGCCGCCCACTCTCCCCCCTCCTCCAGTTTGGGCACTCAGGATCAAAAAGTTCACCACCACTGATATAGATCATGCTGAGGCAGAAACATACTGGTCGAAAAACAGCTCAACAAGGAGTGTGCTTGCATAAACAGAAGATGTATCAAAGAATTTGAAAAAAGGGGAAATGATTTTGATTATTTAAACATATGAAAGGGGCACAGAATTTAATGCTCTTAAAATACTTGTAAAAAGGAAAGCAGACATTAGAAGAGTAAAAATGTGGACTAAGAATAAAATAGAATTTAGGATAAGCACAGCATATAGTTCAAAAGGTTAAGTAAATTTAAAGCATAGAATGGTATGTTTAGTATAAAATGTAGAGTATAAGTTATATATACAAATGTCAGGTGTCCTTGATATGCAATAATTTTTTTAACTTGCTTCTGTTTTCACTATTCTTTTTGTCATGCTTGGAAAACATCTTAGTAAAAAAGGAGTGTGCTGAAGTGCATAATATGCAAAATTCATATGGTACAAATGACTGCAAGATTTGAATAATTTGTAGATTAGGAAGGCCAGATTTGGAGAATTGGGATCTAGGAATTTTAAATAGGTGCTCTTTCTCTAAGGTAAATTAAGTGAGCCTGTGCCATTGCTAGGGGACTGGCTCTAGCCAGGCCAAGACCAGAACACAAGATGCCTCTCCAAACAGGATATGAGAACATCCTCCTGTTGCCTGCTGTTTGGGGTACCTGTTGTGGGAGAAGCATCAGTGTACAAATTGGATGTTGTGGCTGGGGCTAGTGCAATCTGAAATCCATTGGTGGGCTCTTGTCATTCTGTATTGTAGATGGTGTTCAGACAAATGGTGAAGCAAGTCCTGAGTTCTATATTTTTAATAATTATTAATATGTATTTAAAAAACCTTACACCACCAAAAAGAGGGATGTTTTAACACCTGCCTTTGCTTTTCTTGTCACTTATTTAGCAGATTCCATCATGTATGTAGAAGTCTAATTTTCCTTTAAGCAATTCTTAAAATTGGCATTGGCTTTTTATTTGTTTTGGCCCATTTTGTTCTACTCCCATTAAGTATATTATAGTTTTAATTGCTATGTAAATAATGAACAGTAAGTATCTTGAAATACAACCTAAAAATAGATCTGTACAACAAAAAAGAAAGGGAGCAAAATACAAAGAAAAGGATAGTTCTATGGAATCTATTTGTGAGTAAGCTAGCCAGACCTCATAAATGTGATATTTATCCCCACTGTCTTTTTCTGAAAACTATATCTATAAAACTTACTAGAGCTGGAGCATCTGTCTTTGATGGCAAAATTGAACTTATTTCAAAAGTTTAGTCAGTGGTTCACTGCAGGAACTGTACAGAGATTATCTTATAAAATATATTACTAGATGGTCTTATTACAATATGATCAGAACATGCTTTGTTTTATTTATTGCCTTGGTTTAGTAAATCATGCAGTGGTGATCACGACTGCTTTAATCACAGGACCAGAGTAGACAAGGTTGGAAGAATCCATTTATTGGTTACACATCGTGCCTCCTTCATATATTAAGCAAAGAGTTGTTTGAGATCAGTCACTTTTTTTTCCTCAAGTGTGCACTGGAGAGGAATGTATATGAAGGGGTGGAGGATAGCAAGATGAGATGAGGGGCTGTGTAAGTGGATTGAGCTAGGAGAAACATCTGAAGGGGTGGAGTGTGGAGATATAAAATGAAATAAGCGAGAAGGCGTTGCTGCCATGTATCCTGTTAAGACCAGGAGGTATTAAATTTGTAAACAGGCTATAGTTTGGGTCCTGGCAATTGAAACATCTGCCCTTACCAACCCTTGTACTGTCATAACTGCCAAACATGTCTTGTAGATTTGGGCAACATCTTTTAAGAGCAAAATTATAATTAGTTGAAGTTATAATTTTATTCTTGTACACTAACATGAAGAATGTATTAGTATTAAATATTTCATTAAAATGTAAGCAGTGGGCTTTCATACATGTGTAGTGCTGTACGGTAATATTCTTTCCAACCTTGGATAGATGGAGGAGCAGGATGTTATTATGGATTGCTTTAGTGGATCGGGCAGTCAAAATATCCCATATGAAAATAATTCATACATAGACCAACTTTTATGTTTTTGTTTGTTTTTCTTGAACCTGTAGGCCATAAACTTTCAGTAGTTTGCAACATGCTGTTTGTCTTAAATAAATAATAGTTTTAGTTTCATTCACTTGTTGCCTTTGTACAATGTATTAGAAGCATGAATCTTCCTTTGCCTTAGCACAGCAATGACATTTTATTTCCTACCCTGCAAAATAATAGGATAACAGTCACAGGATTCTGGACTCTGTCCTGACCCATGTGGTGGCTATGGGAGATTTTCCTGGCAAATTGACATGGATAGTGAACTCTGCAGTTATAAGCAGTCAGTAGGATCATGAATAATCATGGTATACTTGTCATTTTCTGTTTTCATTTTGCTTGCTAAGGAACTTTTACATTGACTGTTTATTTTAAATTATTGTTAGAAATAAATTGTAACTCAGAAAAATTATGGAAGCCAGTTTACCGTAGCAGATAGAATATCGGACTAGGAGATCTGGGTTTAAATGTCTGCTCGGCCATGGAGACTCAGTAGGGTATAGCATTGATAGAACCACTCTCCAAATATCTCACCTTGAAATCTCTGCTAGAGTGAGTCACCATAAGTCAGAATTGACTTGACATACAATAGAACAATTGTCCTGTTTCATATCTTCTGTTTTATAGGCTGCTGGACACAACATATAGAATAGACTATGTTCCACCATATGACTATCAACCCTATGTAAGTAGAAACAGGATGTCTGCAGGGCTGTACATATAAAGGGCATTGTATAGAACAATTGCTACAAGGAAGCCTTTTAAACAGCCTCTAAGATGCAAAAGTAGTATCCATGCAGTGTTTATGACATTCAGATTTAGAGATGCTACACAGCAGCAGAATTGAACAATGTCATTTTAGAAAAATATTTAAATTTTTAAAATGAAAATACTTTAAGCAATATCCAAAGTTCAGGCATTTGAGCTTGAATGTGTTATTCTAATGAGCCAGTAGATAGACCTCTTGCAGCAGTTTTGCTTTTAACTTTTCCAGGATTAAATAAAAATGCTTTTTGCCTCTCTGAATATTAATACAGTAGAAATATATATTTTATTCTTTTATGGAAGGAGGTTCCTAAATTGGAATGCAAAACTATCATCTTGCTTATTGGCATCTATTCCTATGAGTCTTGAAAATTTTAACATTAAGATAGTAGAAATTCAATTAATTAAAAACAGCAAGAGAATGCTGATATACATGGGGGTGTGTGGAGGCAGAATGCTTTAAATTGGACTCTTTAACACAGTATGGAGCCAGTAAATGAGGGTAGAAAGGGTGTTGATACATTATGATTTGGTCTGGAACCCTTGCTTTATGTGCCAGAAATTTCACCAGAATAGGAACTGTGGCCAGATACTTCTGTAACTATGGCAACTCATAAAGAAAAGTGTGTTTGTATATGCACATTAAACTTCAGCTATTATAGTACAAGATCACTTTTTCTCCCTGTCCCCTGGAAACACCCCATCTGGACATTTTGATCTCGTTAAGCATAGGAACACTCCTTTCTTGCAGCTATTTTTTCTCTCTGATTATTTCTTGTGAATATGTGAAATGTATTTCCCATTCTTGGCTTCTACAACCTCTTAAGTCACTTTTGCATTGGCAGTCTCTATAAATCCCTGTTGGTATCACACAGTTTAGGATTATGGTCTTATTCAGGCCCTAAATTTTCATACCACTACCTGCTTTGTTCATCTTCCTTTAGTCTGCTTTATCAGACATCTAATATAGATTCCTTGCTTTCTTGGGCCTAATGTATCTTGGATGTTCTCTCATGCATCTCATGCCCTAACCCCCTTACCATCTCTTTCCCTAAGCCTTTTTATTCTTCTTTTTGTCGAACATATAATTTTGACTGTAACTATGTTTAGCTGGCTGGATAGCTTGGTGGTTTAGAAGTTGGGAGTTTGATTCCGCCCTGTGCTTCGTGGGAGAAGAGCCAGTGTGTGTAGTCCTGGGCAAGCTGCACTGTCCCAGGCTGCTCTCAGAAGAAGGGAATGGTAAACCACTTCTGTGTATTCTGTACCTAGACTAACATGAAAAGTGGTGCCATGAATTAGAACTGACTTGATGGCACACAATTATATTGAAGTATTATGTTTAGTATAAACCAATCTTGCCCCTGAATTGTTTATAAGATGACCCATAGTACTGGCCTGTTTTGAATAGAATTGAAAAGGGGCAGTGTCCAAAACGTGTCTCCTGCCCATATCACAAATTGAGGGCACTGGTATGTAAGGATGGGACTAAGTTTCCTTTTGGCAGCAGTCTGTGACATTTAATGTGTAGTACTCAAGGTCTCTAAGATGTGGGTTAACTTAAGTATGGGTTGAAAGGGCTTTAAAAGCCAGTGTATATATTTGGATAACTATCTTCCCACAGCAGGTTTCTTTTAAATAGGTCTATTACTCTGTTCTAGCATAATGTAAGCAGAGTAATATATCTACTATTCTGTTGTACCATATAGCCCTTTCTATGCACGTAATGGGTGAAGTTACATTGGTATGAAAATATATACACTAAATTTAATTTCTGATGAATGTAAATTTAAGATGTTTCCTCTGTTTGGCCATAAATTGTTTGTGTGTGTTGTGTCCTTTCTCTTTATAACACTTTTTATGTATTTTCTTTAGATTACACCAGAAGCAGGTGGCTATTCCATAGTTCACAGAAAATGTCATTCTCAGTTTACTGACACAGCAGATTACAGAAGGCATGGTATCAACACGTGGCAAGATGAAAGTGGAGTGTATGCCAACACAGATCTAAAGCAAAAAGTATTTCCTGTAACTAACCCTATACTAACAAATGTTGAAAATGATGCATAAGAACTAGTACATCTACAAAAATAAAGATTATCTACATAATAGCATTTTTATGGATTCGTTCTCTTAAATAAGATAACATTTAGGATATTTAGTTCCAGAATAAATCTGTGCATCTTTTTAAAGGACATAATAAATAGAGGCCCTGTGAACTTTCCTGTTTTACTTGCTGTCAAAAAACAGCAAGTACACTTGCAAGTGCACACACAGACAACTGATCTTTTTAACAAGATGCTGATGACTGAAACCAGAAATAGGCATCATTAATAATCCATCATTAGACCTGAAAGCACAATATGATTCAGATGAACTTTCATGTTTAAAGAATCAGGCTTCAGAGATATTCTGCACTGAAGACCAGACCAGACCAAACAACTAATTTGCAAACTCAGAGATGAAAGAAGGTCCTGCTGGGATGCCATGAGGGACTGTACACTCCCTATTCTTACTGCTGCAACTTGGCCAGGTCTGCCTTCTGTCTGCAGTGGGGAACAAGAGCAACATTACCAGCACATGCCACATTGATGGGCAGCTGTGAGGCAACCTGGCAGTTGTCTTGAAGTGAGTGGAAAGGGAGGGGGATGGGAAACTGAAAAAGGAAAGGGAGATAGTGGGCAGGGAAGGTAGCAAACAGCATTGGATTGGGTAAGGAAAAGAAAGGAAGCAAAGAGGAAGGAATAGCAGCAGAGGTAAGGCCATAAGAAAGGTGGAAGAAGGAGCACAGGGTTCTGGAGGCTGGAACCACATGGAAAGCGACAACAAAGAGGAACTGAGAAAGGCCAGGCCTGAAATACCAGACAGGGACCACACACATCCCAGCAGAGAGAATTAGATCAGCTGATTTCAGTGGACAATCTTCATCCTTGGTCCTTGATCCAACTGGACTCCACAGAGCAGACTGAAGCAACATCAAGGAGATGATCCACTCAAAGGGACTGGTAAGGAGACATGCGAAGCAGTGGGGTTGGTGACCAAAAGGCAATCTCTGGCGAGTGGGAGTGGACTGGATGGGCTGCTTATGAATCCCAAACAATCTGACTGGAAGAGGCTATCAGCTGATTCCTGGGTTCTGGGTGCTTTGGGGTTTGGAAGAGTGCCCCAGCAACTGCAGGTCTGTGGCTCAAATTGCAGCCCTATTATGAGCCTGGGCCAGGGAGCGCAGGTCCTTCTTCCTACCTGTTTGGAAAGGAAAGACTGCTCCCACCTAACTACCTGGAGAGACAAGGACCCTTTCCAGACCTTTCTTACATGAGAGAGAGGCCAAACCTCAGATCCTGTGTGAACTTACAAAGGTGGAGGCCCTGATCCTGTACTGACTTACTGGACTAATGGACCTCCTTCCAAGGACAATTATGACAGCTGGAGTGCTCACACTATAGGGACTTAAAGAAGTGAGGAGTAGATGGCACTGAGCCCAAAAGGAGTCAGCTTGTGAAGAAGGGGTGGGGTAGGGTGGGGTAATGCAAAGTGAAAGAATCAGACTTGTGAAATGCCAATTTGGGCATCTGGCTTATTGCATGTATATCCAAGGGAGGCTCCAAAAGGGCCCTCCCCATGGAGAGAACCAAGAAGGTCACATGTGCTCATACACAACTGGACCATGAGGATTTTTGTCTTTGCCTTAAATGTGAGACATTCAGCATATTAACCGCACACTGTACTACTGAGTTGTGGTACTTCCTTACTTCTGTGAATAAAGTATATTCAACAAGAAATTATTTTTCATGTAAGTGTATGCAATTGCTCTTAACATTACACCACTCATGTGGAAAGACTGAGTTATTTGCACAAGTAAGTCCTGGAATATTCCTTGGCTAGTTCTGACTGGCTATTTTTGCTGTCCATTAAGTTAGCTTAGAATTCAAAGTTAAACCAATAACAATAACACAAAACATCTCAAGCAAGTACCAGACTTTTCCGTGGAAGAATCTTTTTAAAGTTAATGCAAAGCATGTTAATGAAGCATTTCATTGTTTTACATGTTTTTCTCAGAGAATGTAACAAAGTTCTTTCACTGAAGGGCCCTCTTTGATAATTGGAGGGAATGTAACTGGACAGTATAAAAGCTCTTTTATAAAGCAATAACATAGTCAGGATACTTCTTTAATGAATAGTTAATAGCCATGGTGTGAATCTATCCCACATATCTAAAATGATTGCATTGCAAGAATACTGCCAGTTCAAAACCATGTTATAATTGCGTAGGACATACCGTGTTTCCTCAAGAATAAGACAGGGTCTTATATTAATTTTTGCTCCAAAAACACTTTAGGGCTTATTTTTAGGGGATGTTTTTTTTTCATGTGCAACAGTCAACATTTATTTAAATACAGTCATGTCATCTGGTTGCTGCACAATGGTGGAGGGCGGGGTTTCACTTACAGTAACTGGGGCTTATTTTGGGGGTAGGGCTTATATTACGAGCATCCTGAAAAATCATACTAGGGTTTATTTTAAGGTTCGGTCTTATTTTCAGGGAAACAGGGTAGATAGAATACAATTGCAATGCCATACATTTCTAAGAGGCATCCTATATTTTCCTGGTAATACCTGGTTCTAGTATTATTGTAGTAGTACTATAGCTACATTTGTCAACAGGCAGTTTTGTTTATTTTCTTGCACATCTCAAAAATAGAGCTGTCATCATTGCTTTGAAAAGTTATGGTTTAGCTGTTTCATTTTTTAAAAAGGAATGGAAGCTCACACTGCTAACTCCAGAAGAATATTATTATCTTCAAGAGAAATAAAATGATGGGAAACCTGTGTGCTTGCATGGTTTATTTTATAACAGAATAAGATGTGAGGTCTGACTACACTTCATTGGTATTTACCACTAACTCCATGGATAGTTTACATTAAAATGAAGCAGGCACATATCATATCATAATCACCACCATCATCATGCACTTTCAAGTCAATTCTGACTCGTGGCAACCTTTTTCAGGGTTTTCCAAGTACAGAATACTCAGAAGTGGTTCACCAGCCCCTTCTTCTGAGGGCACCCTGGGACTGCAGCATGCTATTGTGCACCTAGAAATAATCTAATTTAAATAAGGGCACAGTACAGCTCATCATTCTAGGAAAAACAGATCAGGTACCCTATGTGCCAGCACAGTCTATGTTTAGGTGCTAACTGTTGAGAGGCAACTAATGGGCCATGGGACTTCAGTGTTTCATGGACTTCAGCCCCAAGAATTCACCAGGAATTGCCCAAACCAGAATTCTGAGGGCTTTAGACAAGAAATCAAAATCCTCACATGTGTATTCCAGTTACACAGAGATGGGAAATGAAAGGTCCATCAGCTATTTTGTTCTTGTGAAGAAGGCAGAGGAAATGGGTGGGAATGGCTCAATTCTATGGCAGGGGCAAGGGATTAGGAGATTAGTAGTTCCTCTGCCCATTAGGCTCAGTATAAGATGCCAATAAAAAGCTTTTGTTGTTGTTTAGTCATGTCCGATTCTTCGTGACCCTATGGACCAGAGCACACCAGGCCCTCCTGTCTTCCACTGCCTCCCAGTTTGGTCAAGTTCATGTTGGTAGCTTCAGTGACATTGTCCAACCATCTCATCCTCTGTCGTCCCCTTCTCCTTTGCCTTCACACTTTCCCAACATCAGGGTCCAGTCCATTAATTGTTTGTGGCTCTGACAGGGTTTAGCAACTTCCACAGATCTCCTCTGTTTGAACCAAATTCTTAGCTGGGCCATACTTTCAGTTGTAAAGATCTAGTTTACCTTGGCCCAAATATTATACCTGTCAAAAACTATTGCCCATTATAAAAAGGAAGCTACGGTGATAGCTTCTTATACCAGACAGAACTTGTCCTCTTCCATACTTTTTGCTTTTAGGGGATTAAGTGTACTGATAGTAAAGACAGTACATGTTTTGTGCTTGAACAGGTTGTTCCTACATTGTGTTTTTCTCTGTTTCTGTGGCAACCATACCTCCATACAAACCAAGGGAGGGGGGAACGAAACCCACATACTAGAAAACCAAAAAACATGTTTGTTCAGTAATATTGGTTGCCTACCTATTTTAACTTTGAAGTCTTAATTAGATGTACTGTAGTAGTGATACAAACTTTGTCTCATAATGCAGATCTGTAGCAACCTTCTAGCTGGTGTAAGAAGGGAGCAAACGCCAAAGTAGAAGAAGTGCTTTGTAAGGAAGACTGAACATTCCTTAGAGATAAGCTGCTCTGTGCAGGGGTAACTAGCTGCTTTGCTGAGATGTGAGAAATTGCAACCAATGCATATATTCCTCAAGGACCAATAAACTGCTGTATACTTTTTTTATTTTTTAGAACTGTATAAAAACTTTAACCCTATTGATCTCAGGGTCCCCACCCTGCTGGGCACCCACGTGTGCACTTGTTTTATCTGGATAAAGCTGTTGCCCTTTTCCCCAAGAAACTGTCTGCTTATTATTATTGCTTGAGTAGGCTTAGTAGAATTAGCTAAGACACCGAGCTCCAGGAGTAACACTGGTGTCACTCCAGTTATGGGATTCTGCCTTCAGGCAAGTTTACCCAGCATCTCCTTAATTGTAATATAGTACTTTGTATTGTACTATGTAGCAGGAAAATGTGTCCATGCAGAAGTCTCCTTTCTATAGATGTTCATACTGGCCACTAGGGCCGGTAACACAAAAAACATCAGGGAGCAGGGCTATGCAGTACAGTGGTGCCTCGCTTAACGAGGATAATTCATTCCAGCAAAATCACGGTAGAACAAAATCCTCGTTAAGCGAAATAAAAAAGCCCATTGAAACACATTGAAATCCCTTCAATGCATTCCAATGGGCTGAAAACTCCCCGTCCAGCGAAGATCCTCCATGGGGCGGCCATTTTTGCTGCCTGTAAAGTGAGGAATCCATCCTAGAAAACAGCGGGAGGCCATTTTGTACACCCGGTGGCCATTTTGAAACCCGACGATCGGCTGTTTTTAGATCGTCGTAATGCGAAAATCGGTTCCCGAGGCAGGGAACTGATCGTCATGAAGCGGATTTTCCCCATTTAAACCATCATTTTGCGATCGATTTTGT